TGGAAGAAGGGCCTCCTGCTGAGAATACTGGAGATGGAAGCTGTGGACCAACTGTTCATGTGAATAATGAACTTATTCTAGCATAGAACAGCCAAAGTCAAAGTAAATGCCATTCTCAGCCACAGGGTCAAAGTGAGAGAAGGAGTCCCGCAGAGAGGAGTGATCTCCCCAACTTTGTTCCTTATGGACATCAATAATATAATCCCATATCTGCCAAGGCATGTCCACAATACTTTGCATGCTGATTATTGCATCTGCATCTGAGCACGCTTCCATGGCAACTTGGTGCATCCGAGAGACAGTCAACAATGTACAATTCTGTATGGAGCATTGGGGTCTGGATATCAACAGAATCAAAACCTCCACCATCCCGTTTTCCCTTTCAACAAGTCAAGACAAGGTCAGCCTGAAGCTTGAAGAGTATGATATACCTTAGGAGTTTTCATCAACTTTCTTTGGTGCCAAGCTAGACAAAAGGCTAGTGTGGAAGACACACGTTGAGACAGCCAGAGCCATAAAACAACTGGCCCTGAGGAAGAAATTTTCTGGGACTGTTTGGGTGGCTAATTCTAGAATTCCAAAACAAGATTACACTGCATCCATTAGACTTATCACGAAGTACATCTCAATCATTTGGTCAATGTTAGCCTAAACTTACAAGGTAAAACTAGACATGGTTCAGAACTGGGGATTTCAGATGATTTGGAAGACACTGAAAACAACACCCACTGTGGACATGAGAAATATGATAGATATCGATCCTCTGTAAAATAAAAGTAATCTGAAGATCCTTGTCAAGAGTGAAAAGATAAAATGCCCCCCCCCCCAAATCATCTATTTCGTTGCCAGTTCCAAAAGAGAACAAAATATTGACAGAAGCACCGGAGTTTCAACTATTTAGCTAAGGACATAGGTACATCTTTAGCGGATTTCCTACAGTTGCACAATAGTCCATGTAAAATTCTGGCACAAAAGTAAAAGTAGAGCTTTGAAATCTGTTTATCCATATCAGGTATTGTAAGTAAAGAGAACCAAATCCCTGTAACACAATACGTTCTCGCACTTGAACTGATTGACCATGAGTATCTCATCAATAATTGGACTCATGTGTATACTGAGGGGTCTGCCATCGATGGAGGGAGTGGAATTTACATTATATATCCAAATAGTCAAATCACTCCCCTGTTCATTTCAAGAAGACAGCTCTGCAGCCGCTTCAAATCTACAGTGACAGCCATCGCTGCCACTGTTGAACACCTCAGAACATACACGAATAATTTTAAAAATGGTATAATTCTGACAGACTTGATGTCCATTCTGTAGCCTTGACATTCAAGAACACTGATGCTGCCATCAGAGATCCTAAAGACAACCTACAAAAGGTCCCACAGGACTTCAGTGCTCTCTTGCAGTGGATTCCAGCTCATTGCAAAATCTCGGTGCATGAGACAGCAGACAAACTGGCCAAAGATGGGAGCCTGAAATACCAACCACAAGCTGCTATATCTTTCAGAGAAGTCAAAACCCTACTGAAGCAGAGATTGAAAAATGACTGGCACTGTAATCAGCGAGACTACAACCCGCAGCAAGAATCACTCAGATTCTTGGACATAGGACAGGCTACAAATATGTACTGCCCAAAAACTGTCCACTGTGGTCTCCATGCCAATTTAATGAAAATGAATCTTGGAGACACTGTACTGTATACTTGCATACAGACACTTCAGGACTGTCCCTACAGTTAAGAGACTTTAACATAGCCAAAAGGAGCAGACCGTTTAATATTAAAGACTAGCTGGAGTACCCGTCCCCTGGATGGAAGTTATGTAAATTCATGATTAACGAAAGGTTATTTTAGGACATGAAAGTTACTTTCCCTTATATGTAATTGTAAAACAGAAAACGTTAAAACGGCCATAAAAACTACAAAACACAAAATGTGAAACCACAAGGTTGCATGTATCTCCGCATGGACCAAAGAAACCTTCATACCAAATTTGGTGAAGATCCATCTACAGGGGGTGAGGTAGTGGTATAAAACGCTAAAATGCCATTAAAAACTGCAAAATGCTAAACTGAAAATTTCTGTAGTACCTCCACATGGACCTAATGAGCCTACATACAAATTTTGGTGAAGATCCATCCACACCCTGCGAAGTAGTAACATGGACATACAACAGACAGTACTATTATATTTATATAGATGAAGGTTACAACATTATTATTTAGACGTGCAGCTTTAAATTCTGACTTTAAGAAGTTGTGATCGAGTGTATTTCTTAAAATCGAAAAAGGCAAACTTGTTACATATTTATAGGCCTGTGGTTTCACATCCTTTTAGATATACCCTAGAAATATCTGTGCTCAATATCTCCCCCCTAAACGTTGCTTAAAATAATAGTTGAACAGATAGTATTCATTTATTTTAACACGATATGCTATATAGATAGGTATAATGTAGAAAGTAAACATTATTAATCGTTACTAACCAAAACCGTTTGTTTGATGTTAAGTGTAAATTAACACAATAGCTATCTGTGCTCTGTCCACTGCAGGTATCGATCCCCGGTTTTTAGTGTTATATACCTTCAGACTTGCTGCTGAGTCACCGAGGGCAAACTAAACAGCTTAATGTTATGTTTTAAATTGACAAAAAACTGAATTTTTTGAAAACCACTTCAGTCAAAGGTCCTCAAGTATTTTGCTCTGCAGATTTTGTAGCCCGGCATGGCCAATGGTTAGGGTGCTCGACTCGCAATCTGTGGGTTCGAATCCCGTCACACCAAACATGCGCACCCTTTCAGTCGTGGGGGCGTTATAATGTGGGGTCAATCCCACTATTCGTTGGTAACAGAGTAGCCCAAGAGTTGGCGGTAGGTGGTGATGACTAGCTGCCTTCCCTCTAGTCTTACACTGCTAAATTAGGGACGGCTAGCACAGATAGCCCTTGTGTAGCTTTGGGCGAAATCCGTAACAAACAAACAAACTGTCGATTTTGTAATCATATTGTTACGTCTCTGTTCGTTTGTTAATTTCCCGTATAATTTCTTTTGGATGAAACTTTAGTGACACAAGTCTTTTCTTAAATAAAACTAGTTTATTCGTTTTTAATTCAACTTTACAATACACTTAATTTCCACAGTCATCTTAACTTAAACACAAGCTATAATTTACAAAGGACGATTCACGCATTTTACTTCCTACGGCGCTTTACTCAATTGTCCGTCTATATCTTCAATCTCTCTGTCTGCTATACAATTCCGATTAATTATCTGGTGCCCTTATATACAAGAATAGAGGGCGCCTAGCAAATACTGGATTATTTGAGATGTTCCCTGATCTTTCTAGAACTCATTACATGTTATAAGCGTCATGTGACTTCCACTTTCGTAACACTGCCCCTTCCTTAGTACTGTTCGTCCCGAACAATAGCCACTTACATTAAAACAATAGATAATTAACAATAACTTAATTAAATGTACAGAATTTACAAACACAAAGTTTAAATTCAACAAAGTCTCTTAATTTTACGGACGTATCTTCTTCCATACTGCTCTCTGTCTCATTGGCTACTGCTTCACATGGGGTTCATCTGCTTCATCAGGAAATATCCTATTATAGGTAACAGTCACATCAGTATAGTAACTTCACCAAGGGCTTCACTGTTTTCCCTTCTCAAAACCGAGTAGAGTTTCTTCTTTGACAGTGGCTTTTTCAGGTGCCACGTTTTCTGCAGCGTCATTTGTTCCATTGTTCACTTCATTCCAACTGAAATGTCCTCGACCGGGATAACGCCAAAGCCTGTTGGCATGCGCCACCTTTGGCTTACCTCGCCGACCAATTTTATTCGAAATGTCACGTCTGACGATCCACTATGTCATATGGGCCTTCCCATGGAGAAGACGTGGAATCAGCAGACATTTTCAAGTTTGAATGCACTAGATGGTGAATATTATGCATCCTTTCCAATAACACTTTCACGAACTCTGACACATTTTCAGGCAACTCTTCATAAAGTGGGCGTCCTATTAACAGATCCACTGGATAAGCGTGAGAGTAATGGTAAAAATAAAAGTGAAGAGCAAAGTAGACTAAACTAGACTAAACGGCCGATGTCGGACTGATGGTCCATCAGGGCAGCGGGGATCTAAAAATCCTATGCCGAGAATTTAATGTGTGTGAGGGGGGGATGGGAGTACCCCGAGAAAACCTACTTTCACTGGTAACGATCAATTCGTTACCAGTGCCCTACAATTCCGATTAATTGTCTGGCGCACTTATATACAAGAATAGAGGGCGCCTAGCAAATACTGGATTATTCGTGATGTTCCCCGATCTTTTTAGAACTCATTACGTGTTACCAGCGTCACATGACTTCCGCTGTCATAACAATATAATATTCATTTCGAAAAATGCTGCATGATATATAAAGATTAGAAGATCATTATTTTGTATAAATACTACTTACCACTAGAAAAACAAAAGGAATATTTGGTTTTATTTGTGTTGTGATATAATAAACAATTGAATATATTTGCATAATTTGTTTTAAGTATCACCTAATTTATAATTATGTTGCTATTTTTGTTTGTTTGTTTGTAACTAAGAACAAAGATACACAATGGGCTATCTGTGCTCTGCCCCCAACGAGTATCGAAACCCGGTTTCTAGCGTTGTAAGTTCGAAGACATACCGTAGTGCCACTAAGAGATCGCCTATTAGTAATAATCAGAAGCATAAGTGTGGATACTTATAAAAGCATAATTTTTTTACTTTCCAGGTAAAAACGGCCATTTTTTTGCATGTAATATGATTAAGTAAACAAATATAGTAAATATTTCATTCAGAATGTTTAAATACAGTATTCTAAGTAAACAACAATTTTCTTTACCAATTGATGCAACTTATCTATATATTTATATTATTATTAGAATTACCCTTACTTCAAAGTTCTGTAGCTAAAAGTATTTAACTGTGTCAACCAATAGTGGGCCAAACACGAGATGATGAGTCGTAAAACGAGAACGGTTATAAAAGTTTGCTAAATTTTTTTTCAGAAATTTGAGGAAAGTTTGTACAGCATCTGAGTTCATTTTCGCAAATTTGTAACTTCGCAAATATATAATTATGCATAGCCTATGCAGTCGTGTTTCTAAAAGTAAAACTTGAACAAGAGTATAATACAACTACAAGTTCGATCTAGATTTGACTTTTGAGTCGGAGAGTAACGAGTACTTCTGTGGTTAGGACTAAATTCATTTTAAATTAGGCCTATTGCTTTGTAAGTTATTAACTTTGTTACTTTCATAGACTGATACTTTCAGCACGGTATAATCTTGGTAGTTAGCTTACTTATCTGAACGTTACCTATTACTAATATTATTATTCCCGCGACTGGCCATGCCTTTGGTGCAAGCTAACAATCAGTAACATTTGAAGTTTATAACTCAAAACAGTTACTCGGATAGGCTTCAACAACTCGAAAGAAAACGCTGGTGAAACGGGGGTCGTTGCGTTAAGTCTGTTTTAGGTTAATGATTTACAATTATAATATGTTGTTTGAATGTACAATCAAACACGTATTATTGTAAATTACTGTTTAGATATTTAAGTGATGTTTCCCTATAATAAAAGGTTATCACATCATAACATTAAGTGACTGCATGACAAATACAAATAAAATTATAAGCCTATGAATTCTTTGGATCTGGAATTGAGTAAGGTAAGCACTTTTATTATATAGATATATATATATATAGTTTTAATTTTCATGTATTTTATAATCGAGTAATTGCTCAGAAGTGTTTGCATTGCTATTGTTAATTTTTTAGGAATGTTTTTAACTGTAGTCAACTTTAAAATATTCAAATTTTTAACTTTTGTGTTGGTTCTGATATTTCTTTTGACTGAGTAAGTGAAGTAGTTGGGCACACAATAAAGTAAAATTCTCTTTGGCAGTATTTCTCAACTCGTGGGTTGTAACCCCAGAATTGGGTAATCAGAACATATGAATCTGAAAGAGTTGCAAATAAACTTTGAAAACAGATAATTGTTTATTTATTTAGTGTACTGGATACTTTCTTTGTACTGCTACTTCAGTGCCAGAGCTATTTACTGGGTTATGATTGGCTATCACTATCATAGTTGGCAAGTTGGTCCCCACAGTATCTGTAATACAAATATACAAGTGTGTAAAAAAGAAAAAAAAAAGAAGAAAAAAGACAGAGTGTTTAAGATAATAAATAATACTTAATATTAGTTTCATCAAAATTACCTGCATTCAGGATTATACAGATACTGCATAAAATGATCCCATTATCCTGCAACTTGTACAATGTATACATCATATTTATAGGATGTTACAATTGGCCCTATTTATAAATTGCCATTTTGGCTAGTTTTTAATGGTGTTGAAAGCATTTACCACCGGTCAGTCACACATTTGAACTTTTACTTCTGTACTGTTCCTTTTGAGTAAACATATTCATCATTTTTGTGTTATTTCTAAACTTCCATTAGTATCAACAACTTACTTAAAAGATTATATTTTGTATACTTATAAAGTTGTTTATTATTTTCTGTCTTTCACACTGATGATGGAATTAGAAAACAAATTCCAAAAGGTCTGCAATTAAAGAATTTTTAATATTGCTTTGATTTTAATGTTGTATAATACTTTGGTTTCCACCTTTATAAATTTAGTTTCATCACAGATTTCTTTGCCAAGTATAAAATGCTTGTCTGTCTTTGTTTTTTTTAAGGATCAGTGTGTATTTATTTTCAATGAATTATATGTTATGTATCATATACTGTGAAGAGAATCATATTTAATGAAGAATTAGTTTATTTAGTTGTACTAAAACTAATCTTGTGAAAATATGTAACAAGAAACAAACAGAATGGTATTAATTGTATTTTAGCTTGTTACAGGTTTTGTACTATGTTGTACATTTTCATGTACAAAAGTTTAAGATTAAAAAAGTAATGTATCCTGAATTGGTGTACCTGAAGATATCTATCATATTTAACAAAGGGTAGTTTGAAAACATTAAAAAAGAAACCAAAACAAGATGAAAATAGGAAAATTAGTCTCATATAAGAATGATGATTAATGAGCCTGACAATTAATTGATTAAAAAATCCACTAATTGCCCAAGTTCTGATCAAAATAGCCAAAAATGAATATATTTTGACCAAAATTTACATTTTAACTGAAAATATTTACTTAAATGGGTGAAAAGAAGAATTCAAGTTATATTAAATGAAAATAGCTTATAAACATGTAAAGTTCATTTGTAAAGTTTAACATTTTTAGACTTGTGGAGATAAACAAAAAAGATTGAAAAATAACTGTTATTAAGGCTAATAGAAATAATTTGCTTTGTGGTCCAAATCGTGAAATGTGACTTGTTTTTACATTTATTAACAGTAAAAAGAAAAGTTGGATAGTAATAATCCTTTAGAAGACTTTTAAAGGAAACTATTATACACTAAGCAGACAGTAAGAAACCATTTGGTTCTTCAAAGTTGACTCTGCACACCTACTTCAGAGAAAAGTTGAGTTGGTTTGGTGGATTGAGGGTTGAGAAGAGGAGGGAAAAGTTCATAAGTAATAGAGGGCAGTTAAATTTGACTAATATTAAAAATGTTGTGCATCAGAGATCTTTGCTGAGACAGTATACCTCATTTACATTAATGACACTGTTAACCCTTTCGTGATGGGCTTGGTATAAAATACACGAGTTCGTATACACATTTGCACACGTTAAGTATTTATACTATAACTTTTAATACTGTAAGTGTATCTTCACAAAATATGGTAGACATTTAGTAAAGATTGCAGGCTATTGTACACAAAAATCAGATTTTTGTAATGAAGTATTTTCACTAAAGATTTGTTTCTGAAAATATCAAGTCTGTTTCATTACTAGTCTGAGTGCGAAATGATTAAAAAAACTATTCTTCGTCCCCAAAACCTCAAATACTATTTGTGTTATCTTTAAAACCTCCTAAATACATTTCAAATGTTTATTTTCAGTAAAATTTTATATTTTATCTCTTATTTTCTCTACCCTAACTATTCTGGGTCTGTAAGTTTGACTGACCTCGTAACCACCAAAAAAATTAGGAAATAAATATAAATTATGCTTTTGTTGTTCTAGAATGACTACATATTATAACATGAGAACATGAGTGTTTAGTCTAAATAGCTTAGATCTCATAACATTATACATTTATATATATTTATTATATTGACCTTCAACTTGTAGTCATGCCTAGCTAACAATACAGAAGTTACAATGACACAGTGCATGTACACTCATGTAACTATATCCAATAATATAATACT